TTTAGCGACAATTGAGAAATATACGTTTGCGGTTGGTAATCTTATTTTTGCATACAAAATCTATGAATTTGAAATTTTTCCAGCTACAAACATAACTTTGTAAAAATATTTAGGCTTCTGTAGGCTAGGTATTTTCTAATATTTTCGAAAATAAAATATGGCTTTATAATTCGGGTGAGTATGTCTTTGAGTATGTGTTATTATCTAGTAAATATGTCTCAAGGTCATGAAGAAAACAGCGTTTGAATAAGAACGAAACATATTTTTTTCTTATTTCACTTAATATTTTTATATTTTTGTATGAAATGTACCAAAGAGGGTTCCAGAAATGAATACTCCGTCTTTGACATATTCGAAAATGATACTCAATTTCTCGTGTCACATTTACTTAAGGAGTCAGAAGTCCTCAAGTTCAGCTCGGAAAATAAAGTTTGCCCTCCCCATCCCCACAGGCGTGATTGAAGTGTTGTCTCTGCGGGTTTCCTTTGAAGACTACCTAACTAACAACAGCCAATAGCAAGTTTGAAAAAATATTCTATCACATGGTAGTTATGGCTAATTCAGAGCTGGAAGTCACCTTCAAAAAAATGTTAGGTTTCCCAGAAGCATAACTCGAAAAGTATAAGTCCTTTCAACATTGACCCAAAAACAATTTTGTAGACAATTTTATAAGGAATATTTCTTACCTTGACAAATTTCTCCTGTCTTTAATCGTTTCCGAGAAAAATTAAGATAACTGAAATTTGGGACATAAAAGGGGGGGTGAAGGGGGGAAGCAGGGGGGGTCCAACTTGCTTCCCTTCTTTTCCTGAAGCTTACACATGTAAGCTACACACATGCCAAGTTTCATGATTTCTGCCAAATGGGACCATACTTCCAGCTAAGGAGCCGTACTAATAGCATAATATTAAATTTAGTCAAATTAATTAGTAAAGCAAAATAGTTATTGAGATTTTTAGGGATAAACTGTTGCAATAATGTTTTATAGAGTTTAAGTTTGTTGTATAGAGTCGGGGTTAAGCAAAGTTAAATTACGAAAGTACGACTTACCTAATAGTTACTGATTATCTTGTTAAAGGTAAATTAATGATGAACTTGCGATCATAATTTAGCAATAGACTCTCTGACTATAAATTCTTGATTGAGACAATTCAAATCTATCCAGTCTGTATTTTCAAAGTTATACCGGGAGTAAGTAGATAACAAAAAGTGTATAACAAGCCGAAAGGAGATCTTTCAACATTCTCATGAAACTGTACAACTTTATCAGTAAAAATATGAAAAAATTGACCTCCCATATAATAAACCAATCAAACATCATCTGATCATCTAATCGGTGATTTTGTATGGGAGATAAACTTTCTTTTTTCATCATTCTGATATGAGAAAGTAAGTAGTTCAGTTTCATGAGTGCCTTGACCTCATTTCGGTCTAATATACCCTTTGTGCTACTTCCTGTATCGGAAAACCTAAAGATTTTATCACAGGGATTCTATTGCTAGATGGTCTTGGTCAAAGCATCATCGGAAGAATGTTGTCAGTTATTTTTATGCCTCGCTTTATTCTGGTGACCCCACGAAGTAGATTTTGAGAGGAAATGTTGTTCCAGATAGAGATATTTTAAATAGGAATTCTGATTTCTGTGTAAACAGTGTGCTAAAAAAGAAGCATTTCTTGTGCCTACCTCTTACTGACAAAATCTGTTAACATTTTGAGAAACTAACAATGTGATATAAAATTGCCTTAAATATATCGTATGAAATGAAATATGAAAGCTAATGAAGCTATATGTAACTATCTATCTATAGTTAATTAAATTATGAAATATCTATTTTGAATGAAGCTGATTTTAATGAAGAATGTGCATGTTAAGTATTTGCATTTTTGTCTACACAACACAAATAAAATGCATTTCAAAACGTAAAAGGAAATACCATCAGATTTTTATCTTTGCAAGCGAATTTTTTCATGTCTAGTGTCTACTGTTCGTGAGTGCCTTGAATTTGTGCCTATATTTGTTTTTTACATTCTGTTTGTTGTATTTCCTTTGCGTTTACATACTGTAATTTTCGATGATAATTTATGTTTTTTATGATAAGCAATAAATTCAGTATAAATTTTTAGTAATCTTTATCTTTTATTTCATCATCCTAATAATATTTATCTATTAATCTTATTGATAACCGATAAAGGTTATTTTAGTCATACCAAGTACTTATTTGCTATGATACCTACACTTCCGATCAGAAAAATCGAGACACTTAGCACGCTTTGTACGAATCACATTTTCTGTAAAGAATGAATTAGTCGCTGGGAATTAGTTGCAAAACTATACCGGTAGATGGAGCCGATCCACGCGATAGTGGACAAGATAGGTATACTTCCATAATTTCGCGGGCTCGATTAGAACCGCGGTAGCCCAGTTGGTTAGGGCGTCGGCAGTACTGATGCCGAAGGTCGTAGGTTCAAATCCTGCCTGCGGTGAAATTTTGGAAGTTTTCCAAAAATTGTTTACCTAACACGAGAAGTGTTTTAAAATTTGGTATTCAACGAATCACATTTTATCTGATTAACATGTTTAATTAGGAATGAAATGTGTAATATCTTCAATAGTGTTTATAACGAGGTTTCTAAATCCTAATGTCAGTGTTTGTTTTTAAAATCATTTATTAATACAAAATTACAATAAAAAAAACAATACACAAATAAAACTTAAAACTACAAATATCTGTCAGTGTTTTAAATAAAGTTTCAATTTTATATAAGGTATACCTAGTAAAGTGTCTCATTTTTTTGATGAGATACCTCTCATTTCGTCAAGGTAAGTTGTATCATTTCTATCATCGTCGATGGGTCTTGTTTAATGATTAGACAGACTAAATTTTCTTTTTTGCCTTAAAAGCTAATAATTTCATACTGAAGTAGGTAAATGATTTATTTACCTATCATGAATCTATCAGATTACCTACTAAAAATAAAATGTAAATTAAAACTGTACCATAAAAAACTATTTATGAGGAACTCAAGGCGTTTAGCTGGCAGTAAGTAGGTATTTAGGTACATTGCCCCACCGATCGGCAAATGCGAATACCATTGTTTTGACCGTCTTGACCCATATCAGGGCAGAGACCATTGACCTCATAAATTGAATTGTATAGTGCCTACCATACCCAGTGGTCCCGGCGGCTGACCCCATCAATTCAATGGCATTATGGCAAATCCCACACCTGACCTGACGTCCGTTGGTGCAAAAGAGATCGGTATATCGCATGTACCTTTGTAACAGAGACAGACGCGTCTTGAAACAACGCAAGCTTTTGCGATGCTCCTGCGTCAATGACCGTTTTTAGTACGAGAAATTCGGAATGTTGTAGGCTGACAAACATACATATTACACGCCTATATCCCTTGCGAGGTAGTCAGAGCGTAAACGGCTGTAAATAACGGCCATTTACACCACGTCTGACAAAAGTAGAGTCATTCAAAAGACTGATAGACCTGAAATTGATACACATCAACTCTCAAATAAATCCCTTAGTAGCTTTTTGCGACTAGAGAGTACCTTTTTGACCTTTTTATATGTAGGGTGTTAACGACACCCACGGAAAAGAGGGGTGATGCTATTCTATGCCGGCACCACACGGCATCTTACAAACACAAAGGTATGCTAAAATACGTATCAACGATTCCCAAGTGTGGGATCCACCTTACCCTGCCATGCCGAGTGGGCCCATTATCCCTGAGAAAGTCGCAGTGCGTATACGACGACCTTAAGGCATTCTGCCAAGATTCTGCCATATTATGGCGTACGTAGTATGGAATGAAAAACATTCCTTAAATGTCAGGAATGAGGTAGGTCAACAATGAACTGCAAGAAAATGTTATGAGAAATGGCGACCATAAGGCATTCTGTCAAGATTCTGCCATATGGTGTAGGTAGGTAAGGTAAAGGTATGGTATGGAAAATATTCTTTAAATGTCAGGAATGAGGTAGGTCAACAATGAACTCAGGAAAATGCTATATACACATGGGAAATAGTCTAGTGGAAAGCCACTTTTAGCTATACAATACAACAAGCTTTTGCCTGGATTTTGTTATGAGGTGTTGACACAAAGTAGGTAAGTATTGGCTAGCGCCAATCGTGTTTATAAGGTGGGTAGTATCGACAGCACATTAACCTCCCCATTCAGGGGACCAACTTATTGTTACCGGTTTTTCATAGTACATAAACTAACAAGAGACAGTACCTATAAGTTGACTTAAATGGTTAGGTACATGTGCTGCCGAGACTACATATCTAATCTCTGTATAATCGACTCTGTCCCAATCTCAAACTAACGTGATGATAAATTAAAAAAAGATATTGAAAAAAAAACCGGCCAAGAGCGTGTCAGACACGCCCACAAATAGGGTTTCGTAGTCAACGTTTTTAAATATCAGGTTATCAGCGTTACAAAGTTAAATTTGTTGCTGGTTTGTTTGCAGCTGTATGATTACCAACCGCAAATACCGCAGGTACCTACAGTATTCGTTATAGTTTTCATAGTAACTTCAGATTGAGAAGTATATTCCATTTTTTTCCAAATTTTAACGTTTTTACTTTAGAAGTTACAGCTGGAACAAATTATGGCACAAAAACGCCACTTTCAAAAGCAAATATCTCGAAACAGAAACATTTTAGAGACTTTGTTTCAAAAAAACCTCGAATCCCCTTAGTTTTAAGACCTATTCTACAATACCCTACTCAATATTACAGAAGAAAAAATATTTTTTGCCCCATTTTCACATGTATGGGAGGGGGTCCAAAAAACAATTAAAATATTTTTTCTCAAGATTTCTAAAGGGTCAACACGATCTACCTATCTTCACATCAAATTTGATGTTGATAGCTCTAAAACTGACGGAGTTATGAGGGCGCGGCATACAGACACACAGACAGACAGACATGACGAAACTATATATAAGGGTTTCTAGTAGACTACGAAACCCTAAAAAGATTAGTGTCGGTCAGGATTTGAACCCGGGACCGTGGGGTATCGTCCCACTATTCTGCCAATTGAGCTACCGACGCCTGGCAGATTCTAGCGACATCCTAACCTCTTGCATTAAAATTCTCGTACGACCTTATCAAGTTGACTGTGGTCAAGAGCTAGCCAAGCACAGATGCTGTTTACCAACAATATACGGAAATTGCTTGGAAATTGTCAACCAGTTTCGCAATCTTATTGTTCAGATCGACTATAAATATCATAATAGACCTGCAAAATGCGAGGGACACAATAGGAATTATGAAATTCCAAGGTTTTAATAATAAGAGCAGGTTGATAAGGTTATAGATAGTTTCTATAGATCTGCTATTGGGGGTTAGAATAGAACAATAGTTTGATTGTGGTTTGAACCAGGCGTGAAATTTGACCCTAGTACCTAGACAGATACTATCGTACTTCTTTCTGCGCATGGGCAAATAACACATAGGTAGGTCATAGGTATTATGGGTTAGGTTATTAGGTACGTAGAGAAGACGAGTTGGGAGTTACTCCACCGAAAACAGGCGAACGCTTAAAAGTAAGAAGAAGACTAGAAGGGCTTTGATCAAGCAGTAGGATACGGGCATCTAGAAACGAATAAATCTAACAAACTCAACCATAATAATTATATATATCTAACTATATACTGACGTGATATGGTTACAAATAGAGTACCTGCACAGCACATCTGGAAAAGGTCTTTCATGCATTATTTAAAGAACATGCCTAACAATAATTAGCAATTGATACAATGCAAAGTTTTAAGGTAGTAGGTATAAAGAGATAAAGAGTGTTGTAGTGAGTTGTGCTACAATGAAGAAGAGAAGAGGTGTTTCTAACCTAACTCAAAACACATGTTGACATGACTAACTAAACCTTATTTTATGGAGCCCTTCCTATACCTTCCTGCTGTCCGAATTATGGTTTCCATCCATCGTCCATATTTCGTCCAGTTAACCATATCCTGTTTCCGACCTACATATTTCCTTACAAAACGCTTTGTATGTGGGAAGTGCAGTCCGTCCTACATTCATAATGGAAAGATTATACCACTGCCCTATCAAGTAGGTGTCTTTGTAGCCGGCATAGTAAAGTAACTGTATAGGGCCCTTCTAATAAATCAAAGTACTTATCTATGCAAATAACAATTTCTCAACAGGAACAATAGTCCACTACTGAACATGGGTTTTCCCAGCTGGTTTTCCTCTACTGGGCCATCCATAGTCACCTCACCACGATTGTCAGTATGGTCAGGAGGGCACAGCAGGTATATAAATTTTTCTTAGTTGAATTGCTAGCACAAGAAGATAAAAAAAGCGGCTTAGAGCGTGTCAGACACGCTCACAAAATAGGGTTTCGTAGTCAACGTTTAAATATCAGGTCTTTCAGCGTTACAAAGTTAATTTTGTTGCTGGTTTGTTTGCATCTGTATGGTTACCAAACACAAATTGAAAAACTTTAATATTTCGTTAATCATAAGTGGTACAGTATTCGTTATAGTTTTCATGGTAACTTCACATTAAGAACTATATTCCATTTTTTTTACTAGCTTGCATACTTAAAAAGTTACAGCTGGAACAATTATGGCTCAAAAATGCCCCTTTTAAAAGCAAATATCTCGAAAAAGAAACAGTTCAGAGACTTTGTTTCAAAGAAACCTACACTTAGTTTTAAAAGACCTATTTAACGATACCCTATTCAATATTAAAGAAGAAAAAGAACTAATTACCATATTTAAAAAAAAATAGCATGCATACTTTAGAAGTTACAGCTGGAACGTAGGCTGGAACAAATTATGGCTCCAAAACGCCCCTTTTAAAAGCAAATATCTCGAGACAGAAACATTTTAGAGACTTTGTTTAAAAGAAACCTCCCCTTAGTTTTAAAAGACTTATTCAACGATACACTACTCAATATTACAGGAGAAAAAAACTTGTTTTGCCCTCCTTTCACATGACGTATGGGAAGGGGGTCCAAAAAACAATTAAAATATGTTTTTCTTAACATTTCTAAGCTTGAGTCAACACGATCTATCTTCACACCAAATTTGATGTCGATAGTTCTAAAACTGACGAAGTTATACCTACAGACAGACAGACAGACAGACTTGACGAAATGATAAGGGTTCCTAGTAGACTACGAAACCCTAAAAAAGACGATAAAACAAGAGGCTAGTTTACCGAGAAACAGTTTCTGGCAAAGGACATTTCCTGACACAGGTATCTACTACCTATCTACCTATTTATTGTTAGCATCCTATGCCTAGTTACTGCTTCTAATATCAAGTTCGTGCTATACCGGTTCTCCTTGTCTTTTATGCGCACGTATTGGGTTAAGTATAGATAGGGGCTACGTAACGTACTACTTAACTTGCTGTAGTTAGGATAAATATGATGTGAAAAGTTGCTTTACTTTTTGGAAAACATGCAAAATTGAATATTTTAAGTAGGTACTACTTAAAACGACAACTGAACAACTTTTCGCAAGGAACGAACATAGGTCGAAATGGAGGTTGTTCAGTTTTGCAGTCTAATAGTTCAATCAGTTAATTGTGCCAATACGAGCACCGAAAGTAACGGGATACCGACTGCGGCGAAAATCGAGAGGGTATCGAATTTTACACGTATTCGGTGATATGATATTCGTGATCGTGACACACATTATATTGCTTAGCTTGCGTGTATAGTGACGAAACGGTTTAATTTGGTACCCATTTGTTATATTTTATCACTGTAACGGACCTAGCTTGCATGTATAGCAAACTGAAGTGACAGTGGGCTGGTCACATCTGTCGTAGAATCTATATGTACTGTGGAATAAGCGGGTTCTCGAGTGAAGGCCACGTCGGTAAGCGAAGCTCTGATGGACGTCCAATGACTTAGATAAAGAGAGCGTCTGGTAGCGACTGTATGGCTAAAACGGGAAATCGTGCCTTGTGGCATACCCTGGGAAAGATCTAGGTCCAGCTGTGGAACGCTTTAGACTACTGACGGTTGTGTAATGTAAGATTTTTCTCAGTTGGGATATTTCAAATAAGATGGTTCAGTGCTTCGGAGGATACGTTAAGCCATCTCGGTCTCGGCTACTGTCTATGATCAGATATCGGTAGATAGTTATCCATTTCATGTCAGAGCTTTACAAATCAGTTACCTAGTGCGTGCTAGTGCTAGTAACTGAAAAATTCTGACACCAGGGTTCATCTTGTTGAAAACCCAGGGTTCGTCAAGCAAACAGCAACTATAAACAAGGTCACTGTCTACACGTGCCCTTCGAAGCGCGCAAAACTCACGCATGCGCGACTACAACAGACAGATTAATAAGAAAATCTGTTTTCGGCTACAAGATTACTGTACATCCTATTAAAGAACCCGCTAAAAACCTGAAGCCAGCTAATGACTTACTTAAGTTATATGTTACTGTCAAACTAGTAAATTACTGGCTGTTTACTGTGACGGTAAGTATGTTTTTGTTTTTACCCGACTGCTTTAGAAGAAGGGTTATGTTTTTCAAAGGTAGTATTTTCCTGTGCTTGCACATCTCTTACTCACCACATCATAACAAAACGAATTTTGGAATTGTATAATCCAATAATAAACGCATTATCCGTTTTTCAAAGATTTTAAGGTAGGTACCTAAATAGATACTATTTTTTCTCTCCACTTCTGAAAACTGTCAAAATACCTATTTCGTTCTTTAATTGCATTGATACATTGGTACCAATCTGATCTGTTGCGCAAAATGACCCGAAACTCTTAAAATCTTTGGGGTGAAATATTTCTTCAAGTACCGGTTAAAACCAGCTGCAGAATGCACTGGATGGTTAGGATTCTATTACTTTCATATCATAATAACTATCGGTGCTCGTGTCTAAGAAGCCACTGTAACAGCATCTGCCTAGTAGCAGTAGGTACCTACTATTTAAAATACAACAGCTTTTAGTTAGTATACCTATGGACGCATTAGCTGTAGAAACCTAAACCAATTTTAGTAGTCGGGTTATTTTTCTTTAAAATTCCTCAATTTTTTGTGCATGTTCACTCTTCCTGCATGTAAATACCTATGGAAGTCGATGTTGATAATTGTTGCGCGTTGCAATTATACCGCAGCGATTGGCCCATCACACCGCGCGCATGCGATCGCAAGTGGAGCTAAGTGGCTACTTCACTTCTTTGTCGTGTGGGACATCGAGTCGACGCGAAACTCGATATACCCTGGCTACAGCGTTTCGAATACCGCCTACTCCTTACCAGTAAATACCTACACCTACTTAGCTACTGGAGACCCTGCTATCACAAAGCATGGTATAATAAGATACTCCGCCTGGTATTTCATTCCGAGACTCGTGAACCACGTGACTAACACAAGACTACGTCATCATGCTTGTGGGTAACGTATTTTATTGAAATAAATGGCAATACCAGTGACGTAGGCTTGTGTTTCTCTGGGAATGTAAGACCATGTCACAAAGTAAGTATTGGCTAGGCTAGCGCAATCAGTGACCGCATATGCGCAGACTAGTGACGTCATGTCCGCCCCTCACTGAGTGACTTCTCTTCTTTATGGGAGGGATAAAGTACGGATATCATGGGCTGGGCAGCCCTTGAAATAAGTTCAACATTTTTTACTTTTGCCCATTTTCTCAGTCGTCCCCTCGAGTAGAATTGGGGTGATGCTATTCTAAGTCGGCAGCGGCGGCACCATAAGACACATCGCCAATCAGCTTGGCAAACCTTGCTCCTTATATGGGGAGGGTCCATGCATAATGCATTCAACAGGGGAATGTTTTGTCTGTTTATATTTAAATTATTAATTAGAAAAAACATGTCGAAGGATCGTCGACCAGTCTACAGTCTTCTTGTTAATTAAATAACTTAATTTGCAGTATCCTTGCGTGCGACTTTGATCGCGATTGTGAGACTTGACGGACACACGATTTTTAAACGAGAATCGACCCCGACTGCGTTATTAATTTTATTACTCTAGTCTATCAACGTGTTATGAGTTTTGTGAGTGTCAAACTTTGGCGAAGAACAAGTGAAAACAA